CACAACACCACACAGCTGTGCTTCTTTGAGGTGTTTACCAAGTGACCCAAAGAGTGACTTCAGCATAGGAGGGTTAATAAAGACTTTGGAAAGCCAAAAAATTGTTTTTGGGATGTCGAGCATGAAATTTCCCGACTCTTAAAGATCTGGAGGCAAACAGCTCACAGCTTGGGTACAGAACTCGAAGAGGCTCCGTCACCTTCACCTGTCAAGCGAGTTCTGGGAGCTGAAAGCAACTTCCTCCGATTTCCCTCTTTAGATGATCGTACTAGTCATCCTTTATATTAATTCTATACAAGGGGCCTGGTCTGAGGTAACTCACGTAATTGAGTGTCTTCATGGCTCGGTACACCTCCCCCATGATGTCAAGAGGCCGACTCTGTGACCGGATGCCCAGATGCCACTTGGACCGTTTCACTGGAGTGACTCGCCGTGACAATTCCAAGGAACTCTTCACGTCTAGATGGTCATTGATGTTCGACACCATTTCTGTTTTCAAAAACAAGACAGTATTGGATGTCTCTAGTCCACATTTTACAGTGCTTAAGATGACTGCTTTGGTTCCTGGAACTGTTTTGGTATCCTGCGGGTGTTGTACACGAGTGCTCGTTCAGAGGTCCAGGAGAGAGGCTAGTTCTCAATTCAAACGGCATTGTCGCTGCGCCCTTAGCACCCAAGCAAGACTCAATGGTTTCTACACGTTGTGATAAAAACTGGTTGCGCGTACTTTGTGTCGTGTGTACGAACAGGGTACACACCGTGTTGCTCTAGGGTACGTCCTTCCTGGGTCTCCACACTGAGAAAAAATGAGGGATGGTGTGTTTTTAAACAGCAATTGGGTACGGGGGGGGGGGGCATTCATGCGTGCGGGGCGGAATACGCTGGAGGCACACAGGCAACCAGCCTCTCCTCTTTACAAAAGGCCCTCCCTTGTTCTTGCCAGGAGTCTGCTTATGAAACGAGACCGACGTGACACTTACGGGGCAGTTTCTCTGGGTGGGCTTTGATAGGCGGCATCCCGGATCCTTCCTGTTCAAAGAAACAAAACAAGAGTAACCAAGGCGTTACCATGACAGCAATTCACTTCCTGGGAGGAAATGAAGAGGTTCGCTACAACTTGTCATCGCTGGAGTTCGCGGCAACATAGTGTGTTTTGCTAATACTTTTTGTCAATTCCTTTTCAAAGAATAAAAACAAAACAGATGTTTCTGAGGTCTGCACGGGTAGGCGGGAGATATTGGATTCCAGCTTGCCCAGTTCTAACCTGGATGATCCTTTGTCTGCAGCTGTGAAGGTCATCCATTCCGTGAAAAAAAACGTCAGTGTAAATATTCAGTGCATTCAGCATAAGGTTACAGGGAGGACAAACCTTGATCCGTCAGACTTCACCCTGTTGTACTTCAGTTCTGTAACTAAACAGCCCCAACTCGTTTCCTTTCTAATGCTGATGGAATCCAAACGGTTTAAGACCTCTGAAATGACTCACCCCCACTTCAAGGTACGATTCCCTCGGAGGCGGGCTCGACGCCAGGTAGAAATCTTTCATTTGCGATTTAGAAGCTGCAGAAGCAATGATGACAAAGACAATCCCTTATCATTGCAAGTGTAAATATTTCAGAAATATGGAGAAATGGACAGGGTCATGCGACACTGTGAATTCTGGAGTTTCTCAGAGTCACTCTGGCAAACCACCGTCAGAGGCTTCCGACAGATGGGTGTCCCTTATACACACACTTATTATGATGTTGAAGAGCGGCCTGTTTGTTCATAGATTCCAGAGATGGGTGTTCCAGGTCAAATTTCACAAGCTGACATGATTGTTTCTGTAGTCTGGTTTGAAATTACCGTGGCTGATAGATTGAACACACACAAACATACACATGTTTACGTTATCCACCAGGAGTGGGCATTCCTTTGTTTTTGTGACGTTGAGCAAACGCAGTGGAAACGATCAGTTCTCTTGCACTGAGAAAATTTTGGACGCCAGATTTTTGTTGGTTTCCTTGACCGCTTGTCCTCCTTTTGCTACGGATAACCTAAACCCAAATATGCCTCAAGACCAACGGGGGGGGGGGAGGAGAGGACCCTCGCGGGGACCTGGCTCAGTCCACACAAAGTTCACAAAACCTGCATTATGAGGACCTGTTTTGTTGACAGGTCCACGCTGAGTGTGGGAGCTTGGCACGTGACCAACCTATAACAGGACGTAAGCCGGGGCTTACCTTCATCCATGAAACGTTTGTTGTCGATGATGAGGAAGTAAGCAATGCGTAGCTGATCGTGAGGGTCTCCTGCCAGCAATGAATTGTGCACTTCTTGCTCTTTCACGTTGAATTTCTGTGGTCGAGAAGAATAGAGTGCCGAAGTGCGTGCATCAAACGCCACAATTGTGTGTGTAAAAGGCATTAGCACGAGAGCTTGAACTAGCCAGAACTTGAACCAACACATGCGCGCGTACTCCATTTGTTAAGCATTACACTTTCTGGTCCAAAATGACGTCACACTTTGGTATTCTATGGATCTCTGAGCAGGTGCGTAACAATGATATAAGTAACTTTATACCATCTGTGCTGTTGGGGAACAACAGGCAAGAAAATTGATTTCACAACTGAAAAAAAAGAAAGATTTTCTGATGTTTGCTAAGCAATGAGTTCACCACTTCAAGTGACACTGAACCCAAGAAATTGGCCAAAAAGGCAACAGATTCCTTCAGAATGGAATTTCACAAATTTATCAATTTAGTAAATTTCAATGTCATGACAGATTCTACATACATGCATACGTGCCTCAGATCATAATCCCATTTGTGGACTAGAACTTCGTAAATTTTAATGAAAACTTGAACAGATTATAGAGATGGTGAACGGTGTATCATATGGAGGTTCAGCCCACCCTCTCCATATGCCCAGTGGAGTACATTACCAGACTGAAGGTTTTGTGTATTGTGCTAGTAATCAGACTGAGCCCTGGCTTCATGTGTACACAGAGGACATGGCAAAGACAAACATACCTCGCAAACTTCCCGTATTGCCTCGGTGTCCACGATGGAATCGTCAAAGTCGTTCCTCGGGAACAGGTAATCCGGAAGGTCTACCTTGAACCACTCGTGCTCTCTGTTTACAGGATGGAACCGGGGGGAGGAAGCATTTAAGGAAATCCTTGGTTTTTTTTTTTCAGGAACAGGAAGAGACAACCTGCAAGATCCCTTTCCAGCCAGCGATGGCTTTGGTGTGAAAGTTACGCACTGTATGCCTTGTAGTGGCCTTTAGGACTACACCTGGGTGTTTGAATGCTATATTGTTTCAGGTATCCGCACTTAGCTCAAACCTATGATATGAGCACGGGTAGAAGATTGATATACTATTTAGCAATATACTATTATATAGTACTAATATACTGTTATATAGCAATACAAGTTCAGATACGTCAACTTGATCGAGATTGCTTATTAATAGGTTCTAAATATCATTAATACATGTGAAAGCTATTTCTCACCGTATGTCTTTGATGTCTGCTCGTTTCAGCGGATCAACCTGCAGCATGTGCATGATGAGTCCTTTGACTGACGATTTGCTAATGTGTTCTGGTATGGCGAATACTCCGCCTGCAGAAACCAAAGAAACGGACTGTACATGTAATGAAACTGAAATTCGCAAACTATCTATGTCTGCATCCAAGACGGGTTGCTGAGATAAAACTCTTGGGATGTTATTCACGTTGCTTGGCTCTGTCTTGAAGTCCACATTCATTTTAAAGGCTCATTTCTATTAATCGTGGATTAAATTGGACTTGATTAGAGGGCCAACCAAACAGACATTATAGCTAGTTGAAAAACAGTCAGCACCTTGTTTGTTTGGGTATTGTGTGTGTGCTGTTCTTGTCGAGCAACTCCAAACTGGTACAAAGCATGGGCCGGTTCATACTTCAGTCGAATGCCAAGGTGAAGCAACTTGGACGTCTCAAAACGGTTTGCAGTGAAATTGGCTCGAGTTGAGTGTGTTTAAAATTTGTGAGTTCCCAGCATGAATATTTAATCTGACATCAGTTTTGAATTAGTATTTGCCAGCTGAACCAAGTACAAAGCGGCCTTACGTGGAGTGAATCTGCAAAGGTGTTGAAGTGTTAGCATGTATATTCTGTCTGCCGATGAGATACTTAACATGGAGAGTCCTCGGTCATCACAACCAAATGGAATTCTCCCTTTGGGATCTGAAAGGTGAATATTGGAGGGTTGGATCAGCTGTGAAGCTGCTTCTTACCTTTGATTTTGCGGAAGAGCGTCGGTACATGTTCATCATCAAATGGAAGCTTCATGAGAAAAAAAAACACAGACATAGAAAAAAAGGAAATTAATAAGTAGCAAAACAATCCGAAACAAGAATTCCCTCTCACTTTTACCAAAAAATGAACAATACCCAACCTAGAGTAACATGTATGTTTGAAGAAAGACTGTATTTACTGTAAGACAACGTACAATGCTGGACCACAAATACACCCACAGTTCTGGAAAAAATGTCCTATGAAGAAACGCTGTACCCAAAACTGCTGAACAAGATAAACATAACAAACCCTTCAAGTCTTTCAACAGTGTTGACTGTAAGCAACATCAGACAAATACCTTTTTTTGACTTCCTCGGAAGACCCATTGGGAGACTATGGTCTATGTGGATTGCACCTGATTGCGGAGCATGGTAATTCTTTATAGGGCTTACAGTGTAATGCCACTCTTTCGGATCAACTGAGAGTTACAGGTTCTAACTTACAGTTCCACAAAGGAGAGCATACAAGATGACTCCACAACTCCAGATGTCCACCTCAGGGCCAGCATACAACCTACAAACAACAAATTACCTCTCTCTTTACAAAAAAAACAGAATGTGTTTCAACACCTGACAATGAAACGAAACTGAAAACACAAACTGACTCAGTTTTGGAGTATTTCTTACAACTGATGCACTTAAGCTGAGTATCAGTCCTGGACAATAGAAATCAGCATTACATACTGGCCGGTAACCTGTTTTTGCTAAGCAAATATAATCTGTGCTTAGCAGTGTAATCAATATCCTAGCCTGCACTTTCATGAAGGACACCAACACCTTGACTTTCAGTAATCTCTGCTGGGCTCTGCTGTCCCCCCCCAAAAAAAAGTGCCAGACTGAATCAAAAGGCCTTTCATCTGTACAGAAAAACAAAACCAAAATGACCCCGTCCAATCACCAACAAAATCCCTGGCCAACAAGAGATGCATTTCACATCGTTTCTGTCGGCTTTGACTTACTTTCCGGAGATGACCTCGGGTGCTGCGTAGTTGGGTGAGCCGCAGCTCGTCCTCAGGAACTCCCCGTCTGTCATCATGTTGGAAAGACCTGCCAGACAAACAGATACTCCTATTGACGATCCTAAGACATTGCTGAGCTGACGTGGGATTCTCAAGCAGGAAAAGTGTATTGACTGTATAGCATAGATGCTCATTCACAGGGTGGGTGCTCTGTCTATCTACTCTGTCCATGCATACTCCTAGCTATTTTTGTTCCGAATATGCCTGGGTTCCCCAAATTTAGTCCACTAAATGAGACTCAGTATCAACTGTAATTTTAACCCTAACCCTGAATCCAGCTCACTGTAAAGTAACAGTGACTGGGCTCTGTTTCTTTCCATTCCGCCAAATCATCCAAAACCTCTTGGATAGATTCTGAAAGACCTCGCAGGAGTAGGATTTAGTGCCACAGGTGTGTCAGAAAACTTCAAAATGCACAGCACATTCTAATGGGTGAACACCGCTGTTCATAACATGTTCTCAATGGGCAAGGTTTGGCGAGCTCAAAGCTTCTGTGATGGAGCACCCAGACTTGTCCATGCGAATGAAATCTGCCTTATGCACATGAACACTGTCCATCTTTCATGTCAGACACTAGTATAACATGGACTGATACAATCTAAATTCGTTTTTTTCCATCGTTTTTGCCCCAAAAAGGTCCATTGAGGAAGTCTTCATTCCTCTTCATGAAACTATGGTACAAGCGAACTAAAAACAAGTCCAGCTCACCAAAATCAGCAATCTTCACATGCATGTTGTTATCGAGCAAGAGGTTTTCCGGTTTGAGATCTCGATGGACGATCATATGCCGATGACAATAGTCTACACCTGAGATAATCTGCTGGAAGAACCTACGCGCCTCATAGTCTTTTAGCTATTAGGAGGAAGCACAAAAGGGAATGTTAGACACAAAACGTTAAGAACCAACATCCCGGTCATCTTGTGTTCAGAGTTGCAGTTGAGTTCAATAGGAGTCAATCTTGCGTTCAGAGTTGCAGTTGAGTTCAACATGAGTCAATCCAAACTCAATTTACAATCATGGCCCAATGCAGCTGAGGATGAATATCGATAAAGGAATGTTCCTGGAACAATTTCTTCTACAAACAGCTTGCAACTTGAGACTGCAGGACTTGTGACTGGCTTGTGAAGGCCAGTGACATGTGAGGACCTGTGATGGCCATGATCTTGTGAGGACCTGACTGTGGCACTGCTCCAGTTGCCTTTTGCCACGAAGTGGCCGGCAAAAATGCATCATCACCCAGACTATGTGACACTAATTAAAGAAGTTTTTTTCTGAAGAAAAAAGTCTGTTTTCTAACGTGACCAAAATCTGTCAGGTCGATTTGACTTATTTACTGAGATTTTACAAAGAAGCCAGTCTGTCCAAAGAAATTCCATTTTCCACCCACCTTGCCATGCTTGACGATGTAATCAAACAATTCACCGCCCGATACATATTCCATTACCATAAAGATGTCCGTAGGAGTACTGATCACTTGATATCTGTGGAGAGAGTGTACAAACCACCGGATATCAGTGTATCAGAGAAATATGGAAGGGCTGCGTAGCACCGTGATCAGAATATCGACAAGAATATTATATCAAATCAGTGCTCAGAAACATGTGATTGCCGAGATTTCGGTAACTGAGTACCTTCTTCAGGGCAAGCAGATACGGGCAAGAAGGTCTCAGTTACCGAAAGCTCGGCAATTGGATATCAGTGCATGCTGGTCAAGTTCCATGCAAATCAGAAACAGATGTCTGAGGAAAACAAAGTTGCCACTCTGGCAAACACCAAAAGTCCAACACGACATTATTTTTAAGCTGACATTTTGCTGACTTCCTCTAAGCTTTGTAGGAGCACCTGCTGAATCTAATAGCATGAACAGAGATCAACACCAGAAAAGAAAGGTGCTTTGTAGATATCAACTCAACATAGGAATTTACTATTAACTGACAGCAGCCGGATTAAGCATGGTTCGGGCAAGGGAACCTATGTTCTGTTCTTGTCTACTCGGGATCTCTATTTTTAATAACCAAAACTCATGTTACTTTGGCAAAGTCCGATCGGTGGCACGACTGACTCCGTGTGCCCTAGATTTCCCTGATAACAGATGTTGTTTTAAACACGTAAGGAAGTTCCCTTGAGTAAGCAGCATGAGTAAGAATATTACTGAACAAGGGGAAGCAAAACACAGAGAATATGTGAGTGGGACCCTGAGACGACTTACAATTTGATGATGTGTGGGTGCCTAAAGAGTTTAAGGTTCTGGATTTCACGTTTAATCTTGCTGACTACATCTAAACTCTTGATCTTCTGTCGATTGAGAATCTTCACAGCCACTTTGTGCTTTGTTAAAAGATGTTCTCCCACTGTGAAAGGAAATCAGTGAAATATGTTCAACTCTCTAGAAATAAAGACAAACACACAAACAAAACATTGACAAAATAAGAGGGTGAAGAATCAAAAGGCACGTTAAAATGAGCATATTTTATGTTTCTTCTCCAATTGAAAATTTGGGCAAAACAGAAACAAAATCAAAAGGAATGGCGAAGAATTTTCATCCCTTAAATTTTTGGTCTACAGCTTTTTGTGAGATTAGTATAAATAAAACAAAAATAAACCTATGATGGAATATGCAAAGACAGTCTCCTTGAATAAACTTATTTTTAAAATCAACACTGGTTGTGACTGCCTTATCAATCAGGTAATTTACTCACGTTATCTATGATGCCGTGAACAATGAAAAAATTTCTGCTTTGCTTTCTCAGTTACTAAATATATATATATATATACATACAGCCAGTGTTATAGCCAGCTATATTTTAGTGAAGGCCAATTTAGTAATAGCAACCGGAGTTTCATGGATCACGGCCAGGGGTCCAGGGGCCCTCTTAAGGGGACTCTAGATCGCTTTTTCGGTGAGTTTTTCTTTCCAAATTAATTAAGAGTTCAATTCAAGGTAAAAATATGAAATTTTCATAGTGACTAATGTATTGGTCCGGGCTTTTAAGGATTTTTGTGCCGGTCGATGGACAGTTTCATCAAGCTTAGTGCCAGACAATAGAACGCTGTGGTAGAGATCCCTGACTGGCACTGACCAGCGTACATGTAGTTAGATAACACTGCATACAGCAAAAACATCACTATTTCCCACTGCTACAATGAGTAGGTCAAGCAAAAAATCTTAATTCG